ACGTTGAGGCACTTAACCGTCAATTTGCTTCTGTACCTGCATCTAGCTCCCTCCCACCTCCGTTTCCTACTCATGATGCAATAAACTCTGTTTCTCCGTACGAGGTCCTCCAAGTTTTGAGGAGAATCAAGGCCAATAAAGCTCATGATCCCGATGGATTAGCACCCCATTTATCGAAACAGTGTAATTCCTTACCTAGCTCGTTTACCAGTAAATCGTCAGCATATCCCCACCCACCTCAGGGAAAAACTCTTGCTCTAATTTTTTTCTCTCATTTATTGAAGTGCAGAAGTCTTACATTGTATTATATTTGTGTTTACAATTATTCTACCTATCCACTGTAAAACTCGTAAACTGCTGAAAATTCACCTTTTGGGTGCATAAAGCTTTTCTTGACTTGACTTGACAATCTCCGTCTTTCTCCTACTGGATTATCCAAAGAGGCCGCCAAAAGACAGCAACTAAAACTGGCGCACGAAAGTGCTGGGTAATGGTTGCAGAAACTGAAACTATGGAAAACATCACAGAACCGCGTAGAACAGTGAGAGACAGGAATACTCAAAAACTGAGCCTTGTGTCAAGAAACAAACCTCATCATAGAACATATGTTTTCGACTGGCAGCTTGCACTTCTGGACTGATGTAGAAAAAGGTGCCAACGTAGCGCGTCATCGAACGACCCAGCATGGACGAGCCTACTTCGCTCAGACGGTCTGAGATGGACTCGATCCCACGAACACTGAACGCTTGTGGATCCGGATCGGGGCCGTCTAAGGACAGCTCCGAGCATCGCTTAAGGGGAAAGGAAGACATACAAGAAAGCCGTCGAGTGCATCGAGACCGCGTTAAGGCAACTACTGTACATGCTTGTTTGAGAATTGTGTACAAATACTGAGATATATGGCGGTGAAGACTGATTGGAAATAAAACTACTCACAAACGGGATGAATAAGCAAAGGGGTTCACGGTGATTTCCGTTTGAACCCTTGAATAATCCTTATGTGTATTGATTTCGAGCACTATGAGGGAAAATGTTTAAATTCGGAGTATTTGCACAGCTGAAAGCTATGATAACTTATGTTCCAAAAACAACTATAAGACCGCGACAGTCAGTTCCACTCAAAGTGATCACTACTTTCTTTAACCAGTCAACTCAACATGAGCAGATTACAGGTCTAATCCAAACTAAAGTAACGGGTTTCTTGGGAGTTCGTATTGGCAACAGCATTTATACTGAAGTAAATTTTTTCCCCAAATAATAATAAACAAGCCTTGGCGAGCCTTTATAGACGTGATTTTCCTTATTCGTTTATACTCAACAGATGGAATAGTTCAGAATACTCTCATTTCGTCAGTAGTGGTTGACCTAGACCTCGATGGGTTGTGAGCTAACTAAAGAGAATAAAACAATTTTTGTTGACAATTAATTAACACTGATAATAATTAGCATGTAAAGTTTTATGCACTAATAGTCGATTTGTCTGCCTTTATTCTTCAGGACATTTTCGAGTCTCTTCGGCATCGAATACACCAACTTTGTTATAAAGTCATTCTCGCACTTTTGCCTCCAATATCCAATGTACAGGTAGCACAATGACCTCTCTCTTCAAAACAGAAAACAGATTTTCAATCACATTGAGATCCGGGCTATTAGGGGGAAGTTGCATGAACTGGACCTTAGAGTCATGCACCTTTTCTGAAGTATAAAAGCAAAGTGTTATGTGGGGAACGTAGAGTCAACACAATTGAGCAAAACCAATGGCGCAGCGAACTACCTCTCTGTGGGTGGTTATACGACTGTTAAGATTCCACTGTTTGATGATGGGATTGATACTGAAATAGTGGTACTGGTAAAACAAAAGTAAAGTGGACGACGACGAATGGCGAACACGCTGACCATGATTTGATTGCCTGAAGGAACCACCTACCTGAATCACTTCCGCTTCTCGACGTGCATTGACCACTTGCTTTTCAGCTGTACGCGTGGCCAATCCAAAGTCCACAATTTTCACGTGATCATTTGCGTCCAGCATGATATTGGCCGGTTTCAAATCACGGTGAATTATTTTCTTCGAATGTATATAGGCCAGACCGTGGGTGAGTTCACGAAACAAACTCCACGCTCGATCCGGGGTAGCGCACAGATTTTCCTCATCAATCACATGACGTAATGTTTTGGTGGCGCACAATTCCATTTGGATGATCAAATACTGAGGAGAAAGCAATGTAATCGATGTAATCAGTATATTTTACAAAGAGGAAAGGTGTCGAATCGTGAAAAAATGTCATGATAAGGACTGTTTGTGATTCTGGTGATTTTGTGTTTGATCACAGTGCACAATAGAGAAAGAGAGCAGAATCACAGAGGTGGTGAACGTCAAACTGACTACGTTTGCCAAACTTTATCTTCACTATCACCAGCCCTGAGGATTGACCGGTCCCGTGTATGCAGACTTTTGTTACACAACCCACTAACAGGAAATCGAAATTTGTTATTATAATTGTCTTTCCCTTGCGTATGATATCCGTTCAGATGAGCAAGTCAATAAGATCGTGGTCACAAAACACTTTACTCCGGTGGAACTGTAGACTAACATGGCCCGTTCTTAGACCGCAGATAATATGAGAGCTAATACGTGTTTAACTGCGAACAGTTGATCATTGTACTTTTTCGTTGAAATTTAACCAAATCCTCCATCACTCTCATGTAGCAAGTAGTCGTGTTGTGAAAGTTTACAACCGAGTCTTCAACGCGGAGGTCAGTGCTGAGATGAGCGAGGCGCGATGCACGTAACAAGCACGCAAAGATGGATGGTGCTATATGTCGTGTAAATGGAAAATGAAAAACGGTTTGATCAGCTTTCCGGTGGTCGAGGAGTAGAATGCTTGCGAGTTCTCGGGTCGATGGTCTCACACTGACTATGAGTCCCAATCAGGTTGAAACAGCTGTACAGTGCTTCCTGGCTTCATCTGTTCCATACACGGCGAAATCCTACTTTGAAATTACACGTCTCACAACACGCCTGCATCGTGGTAACGAACTGGTTCACCGTGTTGGGTTTAGACAAAAGAAAATCAGCTGGAGATCGCGGATTGGAGAAAAGAAACGCTTGACTTTGTACAGTTGGTCACGGTGGGACCATTCGGTTTGCACATCGGGTATGCACCGGAATTGAAGAAGATTAACACACGGATATCACAACAAACAAACAAACAAAACCTTAAATGTATTGTATCACATTGTGGCACAGACATGTGCAAGCAGATATGCCTACATTGTAGTTAAAAAGACTCCTTAACATTGTCACAGAGGATAACACAAAAAAGCATAGAAAATAGAGAAGAAAGTGCACATAACCTAAAAGGTTCATACGCAGCATTTTAGCCACCACATCTTTCAAGTGCGTAACGAAGGATTTGATTCAATTTCAAATGGGAATTCGTCGTGTATATAGTAAATCAAGCATGAACTGAAAAGCTAAGAAGCACTGGACAGCTTTTTCTACTCGGATGGGTTTCATCAACAGTGAGCGAATCCATCGACCCAAATGGGGATCGCGAACCCGGGACTTCACAGACAGAACACAAGCATGTTAGACACTCGGCCACCGGGCAGATGATCAGACCGTTTCTCACTTTCCATTTACACGATATAGCACAAATCCTCTTTGCGAGCTTGATACAGAACACAGACCTCGCTCATCTCAGCACTAGCCTCCGGGGTTATGAATCGGTTGGATACATTCACAATCTGAGTAAAGGAGGATTTGATTGAATTTCAAATGGGAATTCGTCGTGCATATAGCAAATGAAGCGTGAACTGAAAACCAGGTATACAGCGATGTTTTCATAAACATTATTTACCGCAGGAACGAGTCGAAACCGCTTGAAGGATGAGAAAGACTGGCACATAAGTCGGATATTGCTTTTTAATTTACTGCGGCTGACTTCTTGTGTTATAATTCCAAAAGACGGTGCTGGTCGAGGATAGTTATTTATTGCCAATTACGTTCACACACACACACACACACAGGGTAGTTGATAGAACGATTCACAATTAGATGCTCATTCCCGTATTCACCATACCAAACATCAGCAGTTTGCTCCAACAGGTCTTGTTGATTTTTGGTCGTTGAAAGAAACCGCTGAGGGCGCACCATTAGTCTTTGCACAACCAAATGCGAACTACAAGGCAGCAGGAAGTAATTCCTCACCTCGGGAGGGAGGGGATCTATGACTTTGGTTTTAAAATGCCAGTCACATCGACCTTTGTCAAGATACCGTCATTGGGTTTATGGGGCGGCTTTTGAACAGGAGTCAGATGACCAGCCTGAAGACCACAACACCCTGGTAGTGCCACGGCTGTTTGTTGACGACTGCTTATTTGTTGTGAAGGTATTCCCCTATCCACAACCCGGAGACGCAACTGGTAGCACTCAGCTCTGCTTAACCCGAGGGCCTCGATGAGGATGCGTGTATGTGACAAGCGCAGACGCGAGCGAAGTGGGTCACTGAACCCTTGCAACCATAGGCTTTACGCAAACATCGTGCAGAGTATACACAAAAGGGTAAACCCATTTGGATAACTTTGCTGTGCACACCACATCTCGCTTACATTAGCGCAAATGCTCCGATTCTGACCCGCTCGTGTACATTCCGTTTCGGACCATGAGATAAAAATAAGCAATTGGAAGATCTATAGTTATATCACGCGTTGAGCTTTGTCTCATGCGGATTGGTCAAGTGGTGAGGGTCCTAAACAGAACCACCTGAAGGTCTGGAGTTCGAATCCCACCACTACCACCTGCCTTACCCATCTTTGTATATACTTCCCCAGGCTGCCTTATTCCTGAAGTTTGGCTGTGCATTTGTATACTCCGTAAATAAATAAATAAATGCTATCATTATTAAATGATAACATAAAAATCTGGGAAGCAATTCATTCCTCTGTCAACCCTGTTGAACCTCATTTTGTGAGTGAATCGGATGAAGCAATGCAGTCAGTTGCTGAATGGACGGGAGTGCTGTGTGCGTGTGGATTCTACTTATGATATCCCCTACTCGACGGAATCACACGGCTGATAAGACAACCATGTAGAAACAACGGTAACTCAGGGCTTATCAGTATTTCAATTCACGTTCTTTGCTCTGTATGAGATAAGCAGTATTCACAGAGAGGGCTACGGATTTGGAAGAGTTGCAGGTAGTCGATAAATGCACTGTTGGGAGAAGAAAGAAAAACCTAAACCGCTGGGGAGATCAGACGTCACGGTTGAAAACAATGAGACATGAATCCAGCCGTACAGGCAGAGTGATGCTCACCTGAAACTCGGGCTTGGACTTCAGTGTTTTTGCATCCGCCTCCTCTGACTCATCGTCGTCACTTGATGAACCTGAAGGGTTCGTGCACGTCCCTGTATGTGCGGGCATTGCCGGACCATCTAACTCGTCCTCATCATCAACGTCAGGACAACGAAATGATCTGTATTGATCGGAAGATGAGAGAGAATGTCATACTCGGAGAAAGAATCTCGTGTCACGACGGAAACTGGCTACACGGTTCACTGACAACTTCGGTACTGTTTGTTTGGACAGCCAATTCAAACGTTTTCGAATCATTTCCACACTACTCAGGGGAGGTATTCCACAAAGACTCTCGGGTCACGTTTGTTGTGGTAATTAGCACCTGGTCCACCCAAGACACATTGAATTGTGACTCAATGTATCTTAGGTGGACCAGCATTGATTCATATATATATATATATATATATATATATATATATATATATATATATATAT